ACGCGATTGGGGCATCAAACTATCATCATTCTGGTAAAGTGCATATCTAAGTCGTATTTAGATTAACTAAGATAACAGGACATAATTATATAGGATTTTCGAAATAAGTTCACTTGTCACCATAATGGGCAACTTTTGAAATATACTTGAAAGAACGATAGGCAAAAATCGTTAAGCGAGTCTTTCAAAGCATGATGCATTATGCTTATCAGAATCTGACCATGAAAAAGTAATGAAATCTAATATTGTACCAGGCTAGCGAAGCTAATAGAGATGAGGATCAAATATCCTTTCAGCTCGAAACTTAAAGAGTGAAAATGAAAATATATTGATAATTGGACAGTCTTACTAAATAACAAAGAGAGCGAGCTAAATGGCATGAACCAATCAAATATTAGCTTATTCAAAAGCAAGACAATAAATATAAATAATGGACATCACAAATGATTCAAGCAACAACTACTAAAGTGTGTATACAACTCATATGTATAGATAACTTGACTATGGAGAACAATAAACTGACTGTCGAAATCAGGAAAAAGTGATGGGCAGAAATGAAACTAAAGTAAAAATTTGAAGAAAAATAACATATAATACCTTGTGCGGGACCATAAGCAATTGCTGTATCCGATGAAGTCGCTCTTGATATGCAAAACCTCCGACGCACTTTGCTTCAGATGCGTCTAAGGCTTTCGGAATAGACTTGAGGTCGTTCAGATTGAAAAGTGAGAGAGCTGGTGGTAAGTCAAGACATGCAGACAAATGATTGCTATGATTTGTACATATATGGCCATTAGTAGCTGGCTTCAAATCACAGGTAGACTCCGCCAAAAGACGATTGATTGCCAGACGCCTATGCAGCAAGGATTGAGTTCGGTGATCATAAAAGTCAACACGACGAACTGGGAATAGAAAAGTAGATTTTCAAATATAGCTCAGTACTTGAAATATTTAACTAGTAAAAGGAAAATAGAAAAATGGTACATTATTCGATTATTAAGAATCATCATAGGCAAAACCACTCCACTTATAAATGTGCCGCTTTGGGTAACAAATACTCGCTTTCCGAAAGACTCATTGTTAGAATAAATACGAACCTCTATAATACCGCTGCTTGCGTTTTCTTTTGCAATTCCTTCTGTTTGTCATATTTTGGGATTTGTTAACACATTCTGAATTACTCATTTTGGGTAAACTATGCTGCTGTAAGCTGTCGGTCGAGCCTGGAATTTTAGAGACGTTGCATTTTTCGCTGGTGATAATATGAGCTCGCCTTACGTGTCGTTCCAGGAGTTCAGTAGTAGAGAACCGAAGAGCACAAGGGTTAAATATGCATTTAAACGGTTTTCCTTTTGCTTCCGTGTGATGAAGTACGTGGCGCTCTAGCCAGATAGGAGAAACGCTGGGTTGCTTATAGACTCTGCAGCCACGCCAGAGACATTGAAAATGTCTTTTGCGACCGGAAGAAGTCTGAGAGGATACGTGGACTTTGTGGAGGTGATCCAATAAACTAGCTTGGCTGACCGTACTGCAGTCGCAGCCATCCCACTGGCAAATAGGAGTCGTAACCTCTAAAGTAGATAAAATCGATGGTGGTTCTGAAGGGTATGAAAGGCAGCTGGACGAACTGGCTGTAGATGAGGACTCAACAGACATGGAAGACGACAAAGGTTTGTGGGGGTAATCGCCATCAACGAAGGAATCTTGCTTCGGGGCCTCGTTTTGTACGACTCGAAGAGTGTCACGAGTAAGTCTTCTTTCTGGACTCTGCTGACAATAGACTACTTTTCGCTTCTGTAAATGAATCCATGGTTACATTTAAATTTGTTACCTCATTGGTAAGACAACGAAAGTCATAGCTGCAAGTACTAGTTCTTTCTGTGCCGAGACCCCGGGCCGTAAGACAATCAAGGGACTTTGCACCATCAGAAACCGCTGAAAAGTGTCTGCCGATTCTTAAAACCAAAGTTAAAAAAATTACAATACCTTGGGGACATATCGAAAAAAGTTGTTTCAAAGTCGGCATTACCGTTTATAGACCGATGGGCTTCGATCATTTAAGTCGGCTTCTTTTCATCGGAAAATGATGCAAAGTAGAGCCTTAAAAGAGAAAAGGTTAGTGGTAATAGCATGCGAATGGAGAATTACCGAGCACTGCAACATATAGAGGGAGAACAGACAGTGAATCGAAAATGCCCCCAAGAATGCGAAGTCTCCAACCACGGGGGAATTAGCTAAAGACTATGTAGGTGAATAAATTACTTATATCTATTATTTAAATCGTCAAAATAGACGTGAAAAAATTCATGATTAATTTGAATTGATGATTAATTTTATGGCGGATCAAATTATGGAGACCCAAATCTTGCTGCCTATTGTCTATAAAGTTACACATATTTGCTTCTAACAATCATGAAAATTCGCTAGGGCTTTGAACCCACTAACAAGCTATTTAGATTTACTGGAGTTGAATTAATGTATTTAAAATGCAGGGCCAAACCCCAAAAATACTTTAAGTGTTAAAGCAGAGGTTTCAATGTCTATTTCTTATGCCAGATTTTTCTACCTAAGTTGATGAGAAAGAACTATAATTGATTCACATAGCACATATTCGGGATTATGCTGTTAAACTCAGCATATATGGGTTGCTAATCAGGTTTTAACAATACACGGGAATATGTTTGGAATTATTTTTCAATAACTA